AGATTCCTTTGGCTATATTTTCTGTGGAGAATTTTGGTGATTTGAGGAAGGTTTTGCCTCCTCCCATGCGTTTTTAAAATGCGTTGCCGTATTTTCAGTTGTTGCTGGCCTTTGTCCCATCATATGACATGACCTTGCTGAGGCTGATGGTAAAGATGCCACATGCCTGTATGGTTCTAGGGAGTCTGGCTGTGACCAGTGGGCCAGTGGCCTGACCTCCCAGAACGTTGTGGCTGTACTCTTTCCGCAGACAGACTTCGTCCTTGACATTCAGTGAAGCAGCCTTCCACGTGTGTGCTGCTTGTCACAAAGTCTGGCCAGGTCAGATCTACCCAAAGCTATACCTTTACATATAGGATGAGACAGTGATCCTTGCATTCACTTATACTAAGTCAGACTGATACATTGATCTGACAGGTTAATTTGTGATAAGCATGTCTGTCGATTGATATAGCTGAAGACTATTAATTTCCTTTAAATTCTTCTTCCATGGTATTAGTTCATCATTAGTGCACATGATTTAAAATTCTGTCTTCTGATGTCTTTGTGATATTTTGCATGACTGGTGACAGTTGAAGTCTTTGTGAGAACAGTCCTGGTCCTCAGACTTGGTCATGTGGGGGTTTATTGGAGGGAGGGACACCTTAACAAAAATCATCTCTAGCAGAGCTCAGTCTGGTGTGTGCGTGGGGTGGAGGGTAAGGGTGGAAGTGTTAGAGTGGATGTGGGTGAATGTGGGTATAGGTGTGCTAGTGCATGTGAGGTGAGAGTGTGGATGTGCATGTGTGTGTATGTGTGTGAAGTGATCTCTCGTACATTTCCACCCTCATAGTAAAGCCATACAACAGAGCTCCTAGCAGCCCATCTATGCTCTGCACACCGCTGGTGATGCTAAAGCTGGCAAAACCATGTCCTGAAAGTCCAGACTCCCCCACTGGAAGGATTTCTGTGATGCTCAGCAAAACTTGTGTTTCTTCCTCATCCTGGCAGACTCCCTGTCCGTCTCCAGTAATGACGCCAGTCCACCTGCATCCGTAGCATCTCTTCAGCCCCACATGATTGGGGCCCAAAGCTCACCCGGCCCCAAGCGTCCAGGGAACACCCTGAGGAAGTGGCTCACGAGCCCCGTGCGGCGCCTGAGCAGCGGCAAGGCTGACGGGCACGTGAAGAAGCTAGCCCACAAGCACAAGAAGAGCAGGGAGGTCCGCAAGAGCGCCGACGCGGGCTCACAGAAGGACTCTGACGACAGCGCAGCCACACCGCAGGACGAGACCATCGAGGAGGTGAGGGTCCGTGTGAGCGCGACTGTGGCCGTTCACACTGTGCGCGACTGCAAACTAGACCTTCTCCTCCACTCTCTCTCAACCTGTAGAAATTAGATGCTTGTCTCGTAAATAAAAGAGTCCCTGGGTAAGGCAGATAGTTAAAACACTCAGCCGCTAGCTGAAAATTTGGCGGTTCAAACCTCACCCACAGCAGCCTCAGAAGATGGGCCAGGGGGTCTGCTTTCCAGAAGGCACAGCATGGAAACCCTGTGGACCACCGCTCTGCTCTGCACACACGGGGTGCTGGGAGCTTGGTTCCATTCGATGGCAGCTCACAGTAACGGGACTACACTCGTTTGGTTCTATTTTCCTCCTTTCCGGTTGCCATAGTCGGTTCTGACTCTCAGTGACCCACGTGTGTTAGAGTAGAACTGGGCTCCGTAGAGTTTCCAGTGGCTGGTGTTTCAGATGGGCATCACTGAGCCGTTCTTCCAAGGCTTCTCTGGGTGGACTCGAACCCTCAGCCTTTCTGTTAGCAGCTGAGTGTGTTACCGTTTGCACCACCCAGAGAGTTCCTGTGTTGGAACATGTTCATCACATGCTCGTGGGTCTGTCTTAAATATCTGTGTCTTCTTAATAAAAACAAAACTGATTTTTTTCTTTCCTAAAAGCAAGAATAGAGGAAAATGAATGGCATACTTAATTCAGATTCTTAAAATGCATTTTAGATTGTAATTATTTTATACCCTCATTTCGTTATTTCAATGAATTTTACTCTAACAAAAACCAGAAATCAAATGGCTGGCCCGAAGGATTGGAGTTGACATGAGTCATGGTTCAGGTTTTTGGACCTTTTTTTATTCTTGGTGCTTGAAGATAAGCTGTGCTCAGAACCAGATGGATTCATGGGCCGTCCCTTCGAAAGCCACTCTTGGTGCCCCTTCTTTCATCCAGGTTGGCAAACCAGACAGTTAGACTGCAGGCAGGGAGTGAACAGGCACAGTTGTGCTGACTTCTATCCTCTCGTTGTTGCCCTTGCTGTACTTGCCCAGCTAACCCCATAGGGCTCGGTGTCCTTGACTGACCTCAGCAGTCGTGGCTGAGAACATAATGAGCATGTACTGGTTTGGTTTCAGAGGGGCCGAAACGAGGGCCTCAGCAGTGGCACCCTCTCCAAGTCCTCCTCGTCTGGGATGCAGAGCTGTGGAGAAGAGGAAGGGGAGGAGGGGGCCGAGGCCGTACCACTGCCCCCACCCATGGCCATTCAACAGCACAGCCTCCTCCAGCCGGACTCGCAGGATGACAAGGTAAAGGCCGGCTCAGGCTCCTGGGTCCCTGCACACCAGCCGCATTGCAGGAGCTCAAGCCTCCCATGTGGAAAAGATGCCAGGGCAATGCAGTGCGTTTCCAGGCAGACTCAGCCCGCCTGCCCCGAGTGTGACTAGCACAGTCCACTTAGGACTGTCCACTCGGTCCTGGCGCGTGTGAGCTCTCGTATGAATGCAGTCATGCAGTACAGCCATGCATTCTAACGCTCCTTCAGTAATGGTTGCTTTTAAAGTAATTTTGACCGTTCTCCACATGCTGATGAGAATCCCTGGGGACACAGTCCGAGGAGTCAGGGGCAGGCCTCGGCTGAGACCCTGAATCAGCACAAGGCATCTCGTTCTCTCTGGGGAATGTTGGCAGGTTCTGTTTTCAGTGGAGATGATGCTGCTGTCTGCAGGCTCTGTGCCCGTGCTGGAGTGTGGGGCTGGTTACAACAGGGGAGCGATGAGGCGAGAGCCAGAGCCTTCTCCTTGGATACATGCAAAGGCTTCCAGCCAGGGAAGGCCCGCTGTCTCCTGAGCTCTTCCATAGCCTGAACGGGTCTTGAACACCCCCCACTGCACTACCCCAAAAACAACATGGCAGCAGGGGCAGCTGACCAGGGAAACCTCCGTCCTGTCTGATGGCCCCATGCGCCCCTCAGACTTGTCAGAGGCTGAAGGGGGCTGGACAGTCATCACTGGTGATTCACAGTTTTTGTTTTCGTTTGATTTTGGCTTTGACTGAGTTTTCTGAGTAAGACATGTTTTCCACCTTTTTCCCCATTTTTCCCATTTTTCTTCCCGTTCTCCTCAGTAGTGCTGAGGCAGGCACCTGCTGGGTTGCCTGTGTTTTGCTGACCCAGAATCTTGCACACTCCAGTAACTGACCGCTGTGAGGCCCGGTGGTGACGGCCAAGTTACGGCCAGCATTAGATTTATCCCAAGTCAGACGTTGCCCAGCCCTTCTTTGTGGAAACCTGCCTCCTCCTCCCTTGTTCCGCACCCAGGCAGGGTGAGGGAGCTGCCGGCCTGAGAAGGAGGGCTGGGAGCGAAGGACTTGCTTTGGGTGTGAGCCCCGGTGGTTGCGTGCTGGTGAGTGAGGGGGGCAGGAAGGGCCCCAGGTGAAAAAGACCTGTTCACCATGGCCCGGAGAGTGACTGGCCGGACCCTGGGGCCCTGCTGTTTTTCTGACAGCTCCTCAGCTACTTTGTAGTAGTCCTAAGCTATACGTTTTTTAAAAGGAAAAAATAGGAATGCTTGACTCTGGGTGGCCATCTACACAGAGGTGTCAGGCCACGTTGACTTGTTCCCCAAATGACAGAGTGGCTTTCTCTGTTGAAAGAGGGAGCCGCACTTAGTCTTCTGTTGAGTAGATCTATCTATCAGTTGCTGTATTACCTCATCAAGTGTTATCAGTAGCAATTCTTCACTTAAAAACAATCTTAGTGATGTTCCCGGACAGTGTATTATTTGTGACTAATTTTTCGTTCTGTTCTGTTTTCTCTCTCTGTGAACTCTCACTGCAGCACTATGTTGATGTGTGTTCTGTGTCTGTTTTGGTTCAGTTTCCTTACTTCTCCATCTGACTCTTCTTTTCCGCCTTTGTTTCCCACCCTCATATCATATCCCGTATGTCATTAGACCACACCCACATCTGTGTTGCAGAGTGCACATTCTGGCCCATGTATGTGAAAGCCCCTGGTATGTGTGTCAATCCGTGTGTCTCATGTGGGAACTGCGTCGTTAGGACAGCTAGCCTGTGTCGCATGCATTGCGCTGTCCTTAATATGAAGCAAGGCTCATATTACACCCCTTCCAGTTTCCAGTTAGTCCGCAGTGCAAGTAATCTGCAAACACGCCCTGTTTGCTAATTACTGAGACGTGACTTTAGCAGCCCCTGCCCCAGCGTTCCTGCCGACCCCTTTACGCCCTGGATTGTAGCCATAAGTGGCGTCTGTAGCTTGTGAGGCCGCAGATCTTCTGTACTCTGCACTATTCTTGGGGAAATGGATGGCACCGAAAATGGTGAGCTTGTCCCCTCTCCTTCCTGTCTGGTCAGTCACCTGGCACCCTGCCTCTCCTTTCTTTTCTCTTTGGGTCCTCCCTCACCCTGAAAGAACAGTTGAGCCATTTTTATTGCACTGTTTCTGGTCCTGATTACTTAAGGATTCACTCATTAGACCTTAAATCCTTCATTCTTCCATTGATCAGACTCTGTATATTTTTTCCTCCTTAACCAATAGCCTGGCCAGCAGTTGCGAAAGTTACAACTAGAATATCCCTCTCCCAGTCACCTCTTTGAAAAGCATTACGATGTTACATGACTGCAGATTAAAGCCAGACTTTGTCTGCTTCCCACATGTATCCCAGAGCAGGTCTTATTTAATGTTTCATGTCAGAATATTGTAAATTAAAAAGGTTGACTTGAAATAAATGCAAACAGAGACAAACCTGTGGTCGTTTTGTCTGGAATTACTTTTAAAGAGAGAGCGAGCTTGCAGAGAGCATATTGCCTGTCCGGTTACTAACGTGAGGCCTGCCCTGCCCCCTCTCTTTTTCTGACCGTCTTCCTTAGGCCTCTTCTCGGTTATTAGTCCGCCCCACCAGCTCTGAAACGCCGAGTGCCGCCGAGCTCGTCAGTGCCATAGAGGAACTCGTGAAGAGCAAGATGGTAAGTAAGGTTCCCGGGAACATCTGAGGCTCAGAGCAGCTCTGATGGGCTCCTGGAGGATGATACCCCCTTGTCTATGTGACATGCCGGTCATGAAATGTGCCCAGTTCCAGTCTTGCCTGACAACGGGCTGGCCTCGGTGGTACACACAAATGGGTCTCCCTCTTCCTCCTGCTGCCTTGGATAGCTTTCATCTGGGTTTCCTGTGTGCAAGAGAGAAAGGTTTGCATTACTATAGAAGGACTTGGTTTTCTCCGAAGCCTCCATGGGGCCGGTTGGTCAGCTTGGAGTCATTTGATGAACATTCCTGATGTAAAGGGTGATTGAAGTTAGACAGGCAAGGGGTGCTTCTAACCAGATCAAATCAACTGGCTTCTCAGTGTCCCTTCACTTCTCCCAACTGAAGTGGAAAACTGCTAATGACCACAGCTGTTGAGTGTACCCCGAATCCCTTTGAAGATAGTGAATATCCTTTCAGTTGCCCACTTCCCCGAGTAGAAGCCTTGCACTTGTACCAAGCCATCATTAGAGGTAACCCCGTGGAAAGTGTGACATGTTTCCTCTTGACATTTTCTTTGCGTATACAAATGTACAGTGTGTGTGTGTGTTTGTGTGTGTGCTTTTCTTCCAAAATGGATCCATTCCATTTTAAGATTTTAAAACTTAACGTCTTAAGGATCTTTCCACATCAGTATGTTCAGAAGTACCTCCTTTCTTTTATGAGCTTTATAAAATTCCATGGTATGAAACAGTTAGTCCTAGCGACTGGTATACCATCCAATCTGCAGTCTATGCAACTATAAGACCAGAAGAACTAAATGGTGCCTGGCTACCACTGTCATCCACTTGGAAGGGGATCTATGTAGGAGATCCTTGATAGAGAGGGAGAACAATGTGGAACAAAACTCAAAATCATTTGGGGAAAAAAAAAAAGGTGGGGACCAGGTTTGCTGATCCGATAGAGCCTGATGGAACCACTGAGACTATGGCCCCTAGCTGCCCTTCAGGTCTGGAATTGAACCCACACCTGTGGTTTCCAGCCAAACAAAAGATAGGCGTATGAGTTGAACATTTACCTCAAGTAGATACACTCCTTGGAGAGAACAGTCATGGGAGAAAGAAGGGCTGCTTATGCATAGGGAGACAGCTCAGGGGGCAGGAGTGCATGGTGGGATGGACACTGGGAAGAGGTAACTATGGGGAGGAAGTGGCAGGGGAGCTATTGCATTGTAGTAAACTGTGGCCAATGACTTGAGACATAGTATATGTGAACTGCTGTATGGAAAGTGAATTTGCTTTGTAAATCTTCACCCAAATCACAATTAAAAAATTAATTAATTAATTTAATTAAATTTCATGGTATGAATGCCGTAACCGTGATACAACACCACCAGGAACCATTCATTCAGAGTGCTGTGGTGACGTCACTTTATATACTCCCAAAACATCCCCCAGTGGTAAAGCTGCTACCCCATTGTATAGATGAGAAAACCAAGGCACATGTAAAGTTTGAAAACTTGACCAGTGCTTAGTTGCAGAGCCGTGATTATGACAGTTTTTTTAAGTAACTCCCTAGAAACATATGTTTAAGTTACTCTAGTTTTCCACTAGGTAAACATCTGTGTTCGTTACACACGTGCAGTTGTGTCTACAGGGTAAATAAATCCCCATAACTGGAATTGCTGGGTCGAAGAGTATACCTATTTACAGGTGAGGCTTTAATGAGTATTAACTAGGCACCTGATAGGTCAGGTAATTGCTTCTCCCGCCCCTGAACAGCTTCCAGTGAAACTGGTTGATTAGGTCAAGTGGGAATTCCATAGAGAAAAGTCACACTGGCACCCCGCACGTGCAGAGCTGGACTGTGCCGAGGGCAGTCGCACTGTGTTCTGGAAAGGCTGGAAAGGGTGTGATGGGCTTTGAATTAGACAAGAAGGCTGCTGAGACTGGATCAGTAACGAGAACTCAGGCCTGCTGGTAAAGAACTTGGCATTATTCCAATATGTGTATCTAGTGTTAGAACCCCATCCTTGATTTCTAAGGCACAAGTCTGTTACCTGAAGGTGTCTAACTTGTATCCACTGGCTCTTCAAGCACTTGTTTAAATAACTTAAAAGCCATTTATATGCCCTGATTTTGTGATCATTAAAATCATTCTTACTGACTAGCTGACATTGTTTTCCCGAGAAATGTGAGGCGGCCCTTTGTCAACCTGCTAGCCATTTTCCACAAGGATTTAAACATCCCATAGGAGATTATGTGTCATTTGTAGTTCAGAGGACTTCCCCAAATGGCGAGGACACCTGTGACATGGTCTCCTTCAACTTTTACTGCCCAAGTCCCTCTTTCCAGTTCTAAGGACTTACACTTTATCGGTTAAAGCTAAGTTACTTGACTCACAGTGTGTCTCTCTGTAAGCCAGCAGCCAAAAAGCTGTTGGCACAGTGGAAAGAACGCTGGTTCTGGAGTGACAGAGACCTGGGTTCAGAGTCTCCTCCCTGCAGTTGAGTTGCACTGGCCAAGTGCTTTAGCCTCCCAGCCCCTGCGTCTACCAGCTGTAAGCTGGGGACGTAAAGTGTGGTTTGCTAAGTCCCTAACGAGGTCCCATCCACGTGGGCGTTTATTGACGCCACCCGTTCCCTTCAGAGAGCCATGTTTATACTCCTCCTGATAGACTCAGCCCCTCTCCTCTTGGCCATGTTGTGTAATTAGGAATCTGGCCTCTTTATCTTGGTCAAGAGAAACATAACCTGTGCATTGATACCCTGTCACTAGCCTTCTGATGTCCATGGGAACTATGTTTTGTTCATGAAGACTGATCACTTTAACATCCTTCAGTCTGTCTTGCTCCCCGTGACTCTGAGTTCTTCCTGTGTGTTTCAACACGTGCCATCACGTTTGTTTCCCTGTGGGTAATCTCAGGCTGCAGCACCTTCGTGATTAGATCTGAACTCTGAATTGCTTGTCCATCAGAAGCTGTGTGTTAGCTCATTGAACCGGGGAGGAGAGGAGGAGAGTGTTCCGTTGTCATGCAGTCCAATGACCAAGGAGCTGAACCGCCGAGACCTAAGACCTGAGGATTCCACTTGGTACATGACAGCCACCTGGGAATCTTCCCTGGGAGTCTCTCCTCTCCCCACCTCCATATTCATGACCCCACCAGCTATTTAAAGGTTGTACATCTTCTTCAGTGTTGGTAATGGGGTGAGAGTAGCCTTCAGCCACTGGGACGGAACTTGACCTTAGGATTTTCTTCTCTTTGTCAGTTTAAACGTAACAGAGATAAAGGATGAAAATATATGAAGTAAACACCTTACCTGAAGATGTTAGAACAACAACTAAAAATACCACAGGAAAGCAGAAGGAAGTTTTTATAGATAAATTAATGAATTAAAATAGAAAAACAGT